GGGTACAACAGAGAGCAAAGGGAAACACAGGGCTTATATACACGGGGGAGGAATCAGGGAATGGGAAACAGGAGGGAGACACAGCTGGGAGAGATTAGGGCTAACGAGACAGGGGCAGGTAAAACTGAATACACTGACAAATAAAATAAAACAGGAAATAAGAAACAAATCACAAAAACGCAAGCTTGACACTGAGAGATAGACAGAAAGAATATTAATATTGAACTAGAGGCCAGAAAAACAAATAACGTAAAGAGAACAAAACCAAGAATAACCCTTAATGCAAAATCAAACCAGCACAACTCAAAAACCCAAACAAATCATAATTTAGAAAAACACCAAAACAGAAACAGAAAAAGCTGGGTCACAATGACCGAGAACCGTGACAGTCAATTAATTAATCCAAACTCCGTGGGCTGATCTGCCAGGTAGCCTAACTAGCCATTTGAAAATAAATAAATAAATGAATGGAAAAAATAGAGTAAATTTACCGTTCTTGTTTGCAAAAGTTTTCTTGTCTAGTTGAATACAAATAAATACCCAGCAGAAGTGAAAGATTTTAAAAAATAAAAGTAAAATTAGAGTAAGTTCCTGTGTTACATAGAAGGCCTAAGTTTCTTTTTAAAGACATGAATAACAAAAAGCTCCTCCTATATTCCTGGAATATGTCTCCGGTGTTCATAGTACCATGTTTGGTTTACTCCAGGCTGTGGTGTGTTGAGATTATCTCACCAAAGGGGTTGTTCCACTTCGTGTTGAGCTGAGCATCAAAGTGCGGCAGAGCATGACCTCTCAGCCCTCTGCAGGCCATTCAGTAATCCATCTACACACAAGGGGGTGGGTGGGGTTTAATATAGATGGAGGTATTCGTAGAAACGAGCTTAACAAGGTCTTTGTTAGCAGGGTCCTCTGTGCGACATGTCAATAAAGGGCTTATTTCATGTAATCAGTGTAATCAGCAGCAGCTGACCAAGGTGAAGAGTTCACCATAGCTTTGTGTGGTGCTTTCATGTTAGACGATTAATCTTTGCTTCACACACAGCTATCGCTGGGCTTTCTCATGTCCACAAAGTTCACTCATCTCTCAAATCTCAACTGGGATTAGCCAGTAATCCAAGGACATTCCCATCCATTTAAAGATGGCCCGTAGCCGCTGGTCATTAATCTGGGCCATCACATTACGCTGTCATCACAGGACTCGCTGGCCGCCTCTGGCCTCAGAGGAAGCTTTCTGTTAACTGACTTTGGAGGCAGGAATCCACACAATCATAGACCCATGGCTTCTTACTGGGGATTTTCCACTGAATCATCCTATATATTCAGCAGGAGATCAGTTTCAGTCAGAAGATGTTTCCATCTTAACTTTCAAGTGCAGATTATGACAGATTACTATTTACAATAGCGAGAACATCCTACATATGTACGTCTTTCTTATTCAAGAATTTTAGAGAAAACACGTTTTTTGATTCATTCATGGTTTTCTGTATAATTATTTAAATGCTGCCACTGTGTTCTATTAATATTTAGGTTTATTGTTTGGACCCATGTGATACATTTAATTACAGAATTCATGGCCTACGAGGTCAAAATCCATTATACATTTTTGTTAACATGTAAAACCAAAAGTTGTAGCTGTTTCTAAGAAAAAGCTACCAACAGAGCTTATTTTTAAAACTGCAAATAAAAAGTAATCAGTTATATCAATCTGGTAAATATGAGATTATAATATTTGTTTACGTGTATATGACAGTCCTGTAGCTATAATACTACACAGCAAGATTTCATCATTAAAATAGAAACTATTCATAGATGCATGCAAGAATAAAATAACAGAGGTAATTATCAGATGTATTAAATAATAGGTATCAGTAGTAGATTATTGTGGAAGTATAAAGACACACAGTTAGAACATTTAAATTTACCCTTAAATATTCAGGTTCTCTAAAATGAACCAAAAATATATATGAATACACTGAGAGTGTCTGAGTGTAGAGCTCTCGGTGCTAATGGCCTCGGCTCAGTGGAGGCTTGACTTTCTGCAGGTTTCTTATGTAACGGATCTGTTTCCCAGCAATGCCAGGTCATTATTTTTGAATGAGAGAAGGGAATGCTGGAGTAGCAGGAACGCAGGTTATCTGCCGGATCTACACGGCTCTGCAAACACGAGTCAAGCTGTTAGCAAACGATACGACTCCAAATGTCCCAGCACTGCAGCTGCAGCCACAGGTCGCACCGATTACATCAGGTTAAATGTTACAACAGAAACAGAGACGTGAATTTATGTGTTAGGAAGATGCAGACATGTAAAAGTGTTTCATGTCTCAGCATGGGGAACATTTTTGCTACAGAGCAGAAACCAGAGGACCCTTGAAATGAAGTCTCATTTTGGACCCAGCTATTCTCTTATGATATTTCCCTTCAAGTATCTCAAATAGATCGAAATAAATAACTAATCATTAAGGGTAATAAAATTGAATGCTAACCAGTTATTAATTATCATTTATCTTTGTCTTCATGTTTCTTCTTTTTCAATTTTCTAGTATGTAAATGATTGAAAAGCCACTTTCTGTGCTTCCTGTACTTCAGTCTTCTTTGCATTAGAGTCATTCCTGATAAAATCTGTTTGATTTTTTGTCATGTTTTTGGCAGCATTTGTGTGTCATTCTGTCTGTAATCACGATAACACAGATAACACCCTGTAGGGTTCAGAGTGGGGTCACGCTAACAGAAAAAAAGCATTAGAAGTGTGCTGTGCATTGCCAACATATACAAAATACTGTATAAAGATTTAAAATATGACAAGACATTTGACCTCTTACCTCTCCTTCAAGGTCAAAGTTTCATAAAAATGTATTTTCTTTAAAAATTCTGCTGCCTTTGTTTTCATTTAGGAAAGTATCATATTATATCATGCCATATTTGACCTCTGACCTCACTTTTTCATTTCAAAAGTGCTTTTTTTCCCCCAAAATTCGTTTTACGGTAAGTATTGTGAAGAGAAGAGAATGATCTGTGTAGTGCAGCTCTGCAAGCTGGATTTGATTTAACTTTATCGATCTGTACAATTTTTACATTTTATTTTTTTAATATTAAATCAGCGGTCCCCAACCTTTTTTGTGACAATTGTCCGACAATATTTTCACTGACCAGCCTTTAAGGTGTTGCGGATAAATACAAGAAAATAAAAACCGTACCGGTACCAAAAAAAGAAGAAGATTTATTCATAACACACAAGAAAAGACCCAGGGAAACCGAGTTAATGATAAAAAAATAACGCTAAAAAACACTAAAAACCCTGAAAACCATAAATTTCGCACCAGAACCTCACCTCTCTCGTGGCCTGGTACCAAACGACTCACAGACAGTAACGCTGTAATCCTATTACTTTACCAGTAAAGTAAGGGATTATATTGCAAAAAGTAATTAGATAACTGTTACTTTCCCGTAAGCATGCTGCGTTACTGTGTTACTAAACCGTGATTTTGTTTCTGAGAGTGTTTCATGACAATAACGTACGAGCATGCGACGTCCGTGGCAGCAATAGACTTGTGCAGATCAACAGTGCGGGAGAGAGTACGACCGTGCAGTGTTTAAAGCTTGGAAGTACTGACATTACTTTGAGTTTGATTCTGTAAAAAGTGACAAAAACATTAGCGTCCGCTGTACACTGCGTGGGAGGAAAACTTCTTTCTACAACAAAAAAATTAAACTACAAATCTGAGCAAGCACCTAGCACGCTGCCACAGGAATGTGAAATTCACAGAGAAACCTTCAGAGCCTCCCCACTGACATGACCGCTGCAGCACTGGGCAAACCTCCACCGGCCCCACTCCTGCTAAACAGGTGACAATAAGATTAAAGAGCGACACGACTTACTGTTGATAAATCGTTGATTTTATTAATTTTTTTGTTGTGTTTTACTTGCATTTATTTGAAAGAGTGAGTGTAGACACAAAAAATATTTTATATGCTGGAATATGCAGAAAATGGGTTTAAATGTTAAACAAATATCCTCAAGTCAAAGGCTGTTGCATGTAATTTAATTTTTGCACGATGCAATGTGCATAAAGTTAAAAGAGTATAACTAATAAAACACTTTTTATACACAATTTTTAAACACAATTTTATATGATGGATTATGCAGAAAAATTGGGCTGAAAAGTCTATTGCTTTATTACGTATTCAGGTTGTGCATTATGTTTTTTAAAGTTATTTAAGTAATAAATTAACTAATTACTTTTGAAAATAAGTATCCAGTAGAGTAAAGGCATTACTTTCTTGGAGAAGTAATCCGTGATTAGTAACTAATTACTATTTTCAAGTAACTTAACCAACACTGTTTGTGACTTCTGTTCTTGAAAAGCTCAGTATAAATGCATTTTACGTACTTATGTATAGGTGTGGGTCCAAGGCTGGAGCTTTTTCAAGCAGCACAGCAGAACAGGTGTGGACTCAAGGCTCCGCTCACAAGGCAGACACAGGAAGGCATCAGAAAAACAGCAGATGCTCACCTGGATCATGAGAATAACTGAATCCTGTAATGATTTAAGGATCCAGGAATGTTTTTATGCACAGATATGAATGATCAGCACGGCCGAAGCCCTACCGGAGTGGGGTGATAAACGCTCAGGTTCTGCAGTTCAGCACAGTTCATTTATTTATTAAACATAGGTGGTAAAAACATAAAGCCTCATTAACTTTAATAAACATTATGTTATAATATACAAATCATTTACAACATTGCAATACATACAGAGAAAGAAAAGGCCACATTAAACTTAGTCACAACTAGTATTCAGAATGACTCTGTTGTGCATATACAGTATGTACGATCTCAAGCCAGACATATATTACATATCTCTTTTTTTTCTGTTGTTGGACTTTCATACAGTGACACACACACACACAAATACCCAAGTTACCAAAAATAAAATCTGTTATTTGAGATTTTTTTTACACTCAGGACACAAGTTGAGGTTTTGCAGACGAGTATTTTTTTCCCGTTGTATCAGCAGGACAGAAGCAGGAAAACAGCTCGACACAAACACACAGCTCAGTGAGCGAAAACACGACCGAGCACACGGACACACTGCAGGTGCTGCACAGCTGGGATCTCCTTTTTTCTAAGTCTCACAGCCTTGTGAAAAAAAAAATTAAAAAATAAATAAAAGCATTAAATCCACACTGCTGACACTGTCTGATCTTTATTACTGATATGTAACTAATGATGTCACAGCCTTAAACAGCAGAACTTAGTGAGTGTGAGTTGGATTAAGTGTCACAGTCATTCCACATTAGCTTATCCTATTTAAACACAAAGAATAAAAATACAAAATCTGACCATCTCAGATTCCAGTGAAACACTTCTTATTGGAATTAATAACAGAATTCATAAATAATATTTCAAAGTAACATCCTGAATTTCAGGACACATGAACATAAACTTCATTCTATTAAACTTCATGGGATTTAATTCACAGAATATTTTAGTTATTAAATATTTGGATTGGTGAGCTCCACCAGCTTCTACATCACTAAGTTCAAAAGTGATGGTAGAAAAGCAAAGCTTCTTAAAAAGAGTATTTCTTTAAGGGTTTTTGTTAAGTTTGATGAACTGAGGTGGAATAACCGTGTGTCATTCTTAAAGGCTGTGGCTGCTGTGTGCTGTGTAATCAAATGTGCTGAGATTCTGTAATCTAAAGCTAAGAATGAAACCAGGCTTTTTTCAGCCTCACTTCATTAACATTTACTTTTTGTGTGTGTTCGCATTTCATTTTGTTTTGTTTCAATATTTGTTTTATTCTAATGCTAACGATAGCGCTAACAGTGGAACTACAGTCATTTAAGATGATGGAATAACTTTGGTCATAACTTAACAAACAGGCTGAGACAGACAGCGATACCAGTGAAGGCATTACTTTGTAATACCACAGGATTGTTGACAGAGTAATGCAGCAAACTGAACACGCATGTGAACGGCATCACTATCACGGGAACAGGAAAACATCTGTATCATACAACAAGAAGCAGCACTGCAGAAGCTCAGGGAGAGGCAGCTGGGAGGCTGTAACAGTGTTAGAATACGCTCACATTAGCCTGCCTTTAATGCAAAGAATACTTTACTAAGACTTTATATTTCCTCTAAATTACACTGTGTACTCTAAAACATGTTTTTAAGACAGATGTGCAAAAATAATAAAAATCAGCTAAAACATGAGAGCACTGAACAGCAGAAGCTCTCTGAGCTTCTGCACAATATTATTCTCTCTTCTTCATCACTTTAAACCAGGAAGACTGCTTACTGTACATTCAATACATTACTGTACATTACATTATTTCAACATCCTCCACCGTCTCTAATAAACACACACTTTCTTCTTCTGTGGTACCTCAGATGCATTTGACAGGGTTTTTAACAAAAACGATTTAAGGCACTGTGAACATTTTTATGCACAGATATGAACAGCCCGCTGATGATGTAGTGCTTTTCATGCATTATTGCTCAGTAATGAATAACTGCATGTTTATGCTGGTTTTCCTGCTTGTGGTGCTCTTAACAGCAACATCTAATGTTTCCACCAGCTCTGCACTGGTCGCACGTTCATATTCTTTATGATTTATAACAGCTGTGTTTAAAAAATAAAGGTAAAAGCTGTGGTTTGGTTTCAGAAGTGGCACATGCCCTTCCAGCACTGATGTCTCCTTCCAGGATACTTTTAATGAGGTGAAAGGAGGTGATATGATGAGGGTGGAGGGCTCTGGATAAGAAAGGGTCCTACATGTAAATCATGACTTGCTCAGGCTGGCAGCAATGATCTGAACTATTTTTAAAGGATACAGCTTTTACTGGAGTCCTCGAACGATTTGCAAGACATGTTTGGAGCTGATTTGACAAAACGATTGTTGGGAAGAGTGAAGAAGGTGATAAGATTTCTTAACTCAAAGCAAAGTTTTGCCTTAATTATTTTTAAAGATTAAACTGAATGCAGTATAACCGTGCAGCTGGATCGGAGGAAGCTGTTTATGTTGAGTGAATAAAGAATGGGTTGAACCAGCCAGCCGGGGTGGATGTTAGGGGTAAGAAGTGCACTCTCACTCTAAAGACCAACTTCAATTTGCTGAATTTCCCATTAATGTGACTGTTATGTGACAGAGGCGTAACTCTGCAGCTCTGACCTCTGCTGTGGAGACAGCAGGAAGTGTGAGATACCCAGCAAGCGTCATGTTCCGGGGTGAGACTGGACAGAGTGGGACACCAAAAACTGAACCACAGACAGACGAGATGATGCAGGTTCAGACAAATCAACAAATATGGATCAGATTATTGCAATCAAATAAAAAAAAAAAAACACGTAAGTCTTCTTTAATCCAAAATTAAGTAATTTGGTTAAATGGTTCTGGTTACTCCACATATCTAACCCATGCATGTCTTTGGAGGAACCAGAGAGTTCTCCACACAGCCAGTGGGTCTGAACACCGGACTTTGTCGCTGAATTAACCACAACACTGCCGTGCCAGCTGTTCTTGATACTTTCAATTTGCTCTTATCAGTAAAACAAAACACAGAATTTCTCTTACTAAGATGTCTAACTGGAAGTTCAGGAAAAACGTGCGCCTTCAGCAACACCGCAACTTTCAATTTGACTCGACATCAATGAAAAAGGTCCAGCGGATCATTATTTAATGATAGTTTTTGCTGTGGACCTGCAACCTTCAGCAGAACAGATCTGAACATGAGTTATTTTACTTGACACAAAGCTGGAGGAGGCATCTTTACTGGGGCTATACTGCTGCATATGTATGAGCAAATACCCACGTCTACCTTATATGTCTATGCTACGTTAACAGAAATACTGCAGGTTGGATGAAACTTAAATCAACTTTAATCTTTTTAACTGACTGAAAGACAATTCAACAAATCCGACGTTTGCTAAAATATTTAAATTAGCGCCGGTTCCTTGTTTTAATGCATTTGGTGTTGCAGGTTCATGTGAAGGAGATGGTGCGTTTAATTAAAAATAAAGTCCATAAAATGATCTTAAGATTTTAGTTATCATGCTTTACAACAGGAACACTGAGTGGCATTTCGCTGAACTTCTGTAGGAGATAAGAACAAGAAAAGACTCTATCAGGTTTTCAGTTTTTTCAAATCAGTTTCCTTCTAGAATTTTTATTTCCTTTCACTAATGCTTTCATCATCAGCTGCTTCAGGAGACCATGAGGAGCCACAGCATGAGGAAGGTAAATCAAACAATGACCTGAACAAACCTTAAATCCAATCCCAACACCTCTGCTGATGTTGATGGCACACAAACACACTCACACTCAACAGAAAGTGACACATCTGCATGTGCATTCATGGGAAACACATGGAGATCGATCAGAATTAAAGATTTATTTTATCAAAAATAGATCACAATTAAAGTTTGTCAAAAAAAGAAATGGCATCGAGATATGTGAAAGAAACAAAAGCAGAGAAACAGAAATCAGAACACTTCCACGCTGAAGTTCCCAGAACAGAGAAATCACTATTGCTTTTTTTTCTTGTTGCATGACAAAAGCTTCGGTGACGAGCCTGAACTGAAACCTGAAGATGAAGTATGAACACAACGGACGATGTGGTGAATCTCAATGATGGTTAAACATGTGGCGCTTGGACCAGACTGACTTCTCTTCAGTCGTGGCTGCATTCACTCTGTTATTATTGCACGCAGAGTATGCAGAACACATTAATCATCATAACTAATGCCCAGTCCCTGCTCATCAGTGCCTCCGTCACACACAAACCTCCCTCGGCTGTTTTTATGTTAAGCAAAGCAGAATTACAACGAGACAAAACTGCAGAGTGGACGCAGCTGCATGACCAGCAAAAGTCCAATATGTCAGGAAATATTATGACCTCACATCTTCCGCAGAGCCAGAAAAACAGAGAGAAATGAGCCAAAGTCAAAAAGCTGAGTTGTAAATGATCAGCTGTGACACACCTGTGGAGTCAGAACTTGTACCTGACAACCCCACAGAGTAGACACACCCTTTAAAAACTTCAGCCTTTGCAGCTGCTCCTTCTCCAGCGATGAGCACTGGGTGGAGGATTTTTGCTTCACATGAAGCATTTGTAACACCAGAAAGAGACGGCGGTGCAAACCATCCAAACAGAATGATTTAAAGAGAACCTAGTCACAGATACAAGACAGAACATGGACATCTGGACCACCATAAACATGAATAAATTTAATGATTTGGGGAAAAAAAAAAAACTTTAAAGAGCACACATGCTGCCCCTCAGTTTGGCCAATCAGAAGTGAACAATTAGGGAGGAAGTCTTAAAGAGACAGGGGCTAAATCAGCTTGTTCCAGACAGGATGAACTGTGGGGCCCAGTGTGAGACACAGAAGGATTATTCTGAACTGTGGATCATGCAACACTGCTGCAGGGGAGTCATATGTTAAAAAACAAAGACCTGGAAATGAGCAGAATAAATCATCGTCATGCAACAATACGCAAAAATTTGCATATAGGCAGTTAAGAAAGTCACAGTTTAGCTCACTCAGTGACATCTGAACATGGCCCATTCCTTCAGCTGAGCAGCTTCTTTAGAATTCCTTTGATTAAGCAAAGAAGACATCAGCTGCCCTGAAGCACATGAGCTCAACAGCCACTAAAAACAGCTTCAGATGGAAACTGAGATTCATTTCTCTGCTGTTTTTACCCAAAACTGAGACGCTGATGTTCGCATCTGATTCTGAGGAAAACTAGAGTCCAGTTTAAACCCTGCAGCCTCAGGTCTGTACCCATAAAACCTGCTGGACTGGACTCCTTTCTGGTTCCAGACTGGTTCCACCCTGCAGTTCATTTATTGCCCTTTAAATACACAATGAATCCAGAAGCAGTCACATACGCTCACGAGCACATCCAACTTCACAAATAAATTAACAAAATGTGCAAAAACAAGGCTCTAAGCTGTTTTACACAGACTGCATAATTCTGATATTTAAATCCAAGGTCAGGATCGGCTTCATACAGATATTCCATATTTCACACTATTTAATGTGTTGCTTTTTTCCCTCCAAGATTTTAAATGGCAGTTTGGAGAGCGTTTGGGTTTAGTTGCACCAAGTAATTAGATGCCTAATGAGAACTGATGCAGGGACACGGGTGTTAAAGCTTCTGTTGGTAATGAGCAGACACTGAGGTAGATGTTCTCGGCATAACAGATATACAGCATTCTGATCAGGAACCCACACACAGAAACATTCAGTGATAAATGCATTAAGCTGTCTCTTTTTGGAACCCTCGTTTCCTGCACAAACATTCCTCTCAAAGGGAGCAGACGTCTTCACCGGAGCTGCCCCCTGGAGCTAGAGCTGCTTTGTTTGTACCAAGGCAAAAAAAAAAATGAACTAAAGAAAATCCAAACACATTAGCAAAAATGTTAAAAATCTACAAAATAATTCACCAAGTGAACCAAATCCTCTCCATATAAAACATATACAGTATGATACTTTAAAAAATAGAGATTTAGCAACTAAGTTCATCATTATAACAGAATCATTTCAGAATATCAATGAGCGGCTGATGTTGTTGTTCCCGTTTGTCAGAGTGCTGGGTTCAGTCGGACGCGTTCTCTTCTCTTCACATGCTCTACTTTCCAAGCATGCAATAATATGTTTTGGTTTGAATATGATATGCAACGCACAGACAGGACGTAAATGGTCTTTTTCTCTACAGCAGGAGGAGCATCTCCCCACAGAGCATCTACTCGTGATTATATGGAGGCCTCCATCAGCCAGAGGACAAGAAGCAAATATATGAAGCAGGATTCAAGTAACATTTGCCTCGTACCTCAGAGTCTTTAGCTTTGCTCTTTGAAAAAAAAAATCAGGTCGTCCTCCTGTGATGGGAGGGCGTCTCATCTGCAATTTGTTTTATTTCACTTTCATCAGAGGATGGAGAAGAGCGGTGATGGCAGCAGTTGTCGGACCCTGTCAGCTGGACGAGGCTCATCGTTCTTCCCCTGAAAACAGAGAAAAACACTGAAGGTAAATCCAGCAGGATTAGATTATCTCTCCAGCGACGTTCACATAACACAGTTTTATTTAAAATGGTTTTCCACCAAGAAATGTAAGTCCAAAGAAACATTTAAGATCCAAAAACACTTCATCACACCCACAGGTGAAGTGCTGCCCTCTGGTGGTGAGAGTTTTTGTCTGCATGAGGGCAACTACAACAAGTACCTTTAAAGAAGGCGTTTGATATGAATACATTATCACCTTATTACAGCAGAACACAGAAACATGAGGTCAAAATTAAGATTGTATGGAAATAGATTTTTAGATGTGACAACTGACCACAAATATGTTTCCCAGAAAATATTAAAACATGTTGAGTCTCTTTGTTTGTTTTTGCATTGCCTGAATTTGTTAATTTTATTGATTTCCACCTGAAGCTGACAGATTTAAGGCTCAGAGCTGCAGTGTGATCAGACTCATGTTCTCACTCCAGGCCTGCCTCCATCACCACAAACAGTCACATGCTGAGGCAGCCAAGGACAGGACAGAAAGCAGCCATCACTTCCTGTTTATTCTTTGGTGACTCCAAACACTGAGTTACACTTACACCAAAACCTGACTGACAGAAGTCTTCCACTGGCCTGGTCATTATAGGATGATTATGGCACAAGAAGAAAAAAACACTTTGTCCTGAACTTGCCCTTCTTTGAGTTAAAGGAGCTCACGTTCAGCCCCACTCTGTCAGATGTGGTCTTACAGATATCACACACATTTAAAAGATTCTGATGAGTCGGTGGTGGGAGCTTTTGAGAAATTTACCCTTTAAATGAATAGTTCCTCCTCCGTCCTCTCAGTCTGGTCATTTGTACCCTCGAATTACTCAAACATCCACTTAAATTAAACATTCATGCCCCTGAAATGACTCACTTGTCTGAAACAGCTAAATTAAATTCACAAAAATAACATATATGAACATATGTTCTTAGAAAGACTCCAACAATGAAACTGCAGGATTCACAGTAGCATGAAAGACAAGGTGAAGTTAGTGAATAAATGTTTCTTAATTGGATAAGATTCTTTATTGTAAGGAGAGAAATTACAAATCTGACACCGTGTATTTTGCCTGACATTTACTGCACGCTGCTGGAAATATTTTGAAGGGTAAAATCACATCGATAAAGCCGTGCAAAATTGACCTTCATACTATGAATGCTTTCAGCATTTCAGGCCATGAATACCTCCAGATTTAGCTGTGTTTAAGTCACCTTTGTTTGTCCAGCTTTTTTTCACTTTTAGCAGATGGTACTAGTCTCTAAATGTAAGAGAAATATAGATCTGTGATCAAGGTCAAGGTCAAGTTTATTTATATAGCACATTTCCAAAAAGTCAATGCTGCACAAAGTAGTTAACAATGTAAAAATGCCACTAAAATAAATAAAATGCAAAACCAAACACCTTACATGATCACTTAAGTGATCAGTCACTTATCCCACATACTGATATGAGTCTTCAAAGTTAACCCAGAATACACTTTTTGAAGAAAACACATCCAGGGTACCAACGCTGGTTTCTGCTGCTCTCCGTCACAGACGTTAAAATGCTGCAGTGATAGATCCACCACGCTCAGGGTCACAGAACAAAGCACAGATTGGAGTGGGCATAAAATTGATTTGGTTGCACTTTTGAACTGCCCTTAACAACAAGTGAGCCTAATTCAGAGTCTTTTCATCATACATATCCTCACCAAGCATGTGGCGTCCCACAGGGTTCAATCCTGGATCCCTTAGTTTTTCTAACCAGTGTTGGTCAAGTTACTTGAAAAAAGTAATCAGTAACTAATTACTGATTACTTTACTGATTGTTATTTTCAAAAGTAATTAATTACTTAGTTACTTAGTTACTTTTAAAAAAAAACTATTTACAACCTGAATAGGTGATAAAGTGATAGATCTTTCAGCCCAATTCTACTTTTTCTGCATAATCCATCATACAAAATGTAATCAAATGGAGAGGTCCCTTTTTAAAACTTGTTATATTAGTTTTAATCTTTTAACTTTATGCATCAAGCAAAAATTTAATTATATGCAACATTCTCTGACTGGAAGAAATTTGTTTAATATTTAAACTTATTTTCTGCACATTCCAGCACATAATTTTTTTTTTTTGTGTTTACACTCTTTCAAATAGATGCAAGTAAAACACAGCAGAAAATAAATAAAGTCAAAGACTAGCGGTCCTTTTGCTCTATTTTCACCTGTAAAGCAGGAGTCGGGTAGGCGGAGGTTTACTCTGGTGCAGGTGTGCCGCGGCGGTCAGTGGAAGAATCCGTGAGTTTCTCTGTGAGTTTCCCATTACGTGGTAGCGCACTCGGTGCTTGCTTGGACGTTTAGGGTTTTTTTTCGCTGTAAAAAGAAGTTTTCTTCCTACACAACGGACACTAATGTATTTGTCACTTTTTATGGAATCAAACTTAAAGTAAGGTCAGTACTTCCATGCTTTAAAGGCTGCACGCTCATACTCTCTCCCGTACTCGATATATGATCCACTGTTGATCTGCACACAGCTGTTGTCACGAACGTCGCACTTGCTTACGTCACTGTCATGAGACATTCTCGCAAAAAATCACGGTTTTAGTAACGCAGTAACGCAGCGTTCCTACAGGAAAGTAACGGTAATCTAATTACCATTTTTGCAATAGTAATCCCTTACTTTACTCGTTACTTGAAAAAAGTAATCGGACAGACAAAAGCCGCACTTATTAAATGTTTATATAAAATCATCTAAAATGCCAGTTTTTTTACACCATTGAAGGGTTTGATTTACAAAGCTGATGTGAGTAGAAAGCTCTGCAGGTCATCAGCTGACAATGCACGTTTTTACAAACTACTACACAGAAAATTCATGTGAGTGATTGCCAACACAAAGAGCACCACAGGTTATTGGGATAACACAGTGTAATGCAGGTGTTTGTGTTTGCTGCTGAAGGAGGACAATAGATCTTTGATCTGAAGGTGAACTTGTCTGTTAGACACTGATGCTGTAGGTTGTGACTTCTTCTCTGGATAAAACTCAAAGGACAGGAGACAAGATTCACCCAGAGATAACGAGAGCTAACAGAGGACACCGCTGTGTATGTCACCATTTCACAGTTCATGACAAAACTTTGCTTTATTTGTTTATCAGTCTGCTTTGAACTGAATATTGGATCTAGTTATCTTTTTTTGTAAGTTCAGTTTTGTAAGTTCATTAAGTTTAGTTCAGTTTTACTGAGGGCTAAAAGCATGAGAGGTTAGTTTTAGATCTGATGCTTTTTGCAGTACATTATGTGTGTATGACTGATTTATTTGTTCCACCCCAGGATATGATATCATTATGATTATGAAAAACTTTAAATAACCAAATAAAAAGAAAAAACCTGCAACACGCTGCATTGTGATAGGCTGTGGCCCACTGAGATTTTACACCCAGGGGGCCCAGGACATTACAAAGACCTGCAGCCTGGGCCACACTGATCCCGGGACACTGGTGAGAAATTAAAAAAAAAGAAAAAGCTTGTCCAGACAGGAAGTGATGAGTGGAACCAGGACAAGCGAGCAGCCTGTGAGCTGGAGCATGAAGAGCAGTGGCTGAACCAGCTGTGGATTGCATGGAATTCATAAATGAATCCACTGAAACTGCTCCCTGTGTTTTGTTGAGCTTCACTTCACCCCAGCAGATTCTGCAAGGTATTATCAGCTGGCATCTTTAAGCATGGCTGCACATTTTCCACAAAGCCATCACTAAAAATAGGTTGTTATCCAGGAAGAGGAAGTGGTGAGGAATCAAATCGTAATCAATATCACAGAGAGAAAACTAGCAAGATTTCAAAGGCATCAGCCTTCAAATCAGATAATTAGGGGTGACCCTGATGTCTCATCACTGCATGTGACATGTTATCGTGTAAAACGCTGCCTTCTCTCTTGCGCTGCATAGGCAGAGTTATCCAGACAGTGAATGATTTGATTTGAAGTTGGTGTGCAGTATGGTAATGCACAGCCTCTAAAAGCTCTGTTTTTCTAGGTATCCTTGAATGTAGCATTGCAGTGCTAAGCAGTCAGCTGATTGGCACACCTGGTCTGGAGAGGCAGATTAAAGCCACTTGGCCTGTTAGCTCCCTCGCTCTCTGTCTGACTTCCTGTTGGTGTCAACTCTCTTTGATTTTTAGTTAGTTTTCATGAAGTTCACAAACTCACATCATCTCCATCACTGATGAGCACCCACCATATTTACAACAACTTTATCTTCATAATGGTGAGAATAGTTATGCATGGCTGCATCCATGAGAAAGAGGGGCCTGTCTGCCCTCATTCACAACTGTATGGTTATTTCGGAGCAGCTGGCTGCATGAAGCAGGAACACCGGAAGGGTTTGAGTTTGTAAAGGGTTTGAAATAAGTCTCATTTGATATCTGCACCATGAGAGTTCTGCTACGAGTTCAGTCTGATCAGAAAGCTTTATTTTCATTCCTGCAGCTGAGGAGTTTGTAACAGGTCTGAGTCTGAGCTCACTGCAGTCCTGTCCCAACTCTGACCTGACTCTGACCCATTTCTCAGTGAAATCTAACTCAGACTTCACCCAGCATTAACTCTGAACCTTTCTAATGCAACATATGTGGCACTAATATAATCCTAACCTGTCCTAGATGACACACGCACGCACACAGAGCCCAATCTCCTGCTCATATTAAAGTTTATAGTGTGAGGAAAGCATACAGTGAAGCACAACTGATTAAAAATGCCCAAACAAAACCTGAGCCTTTTTATTACTTAGCATGTACTAGCATGTCTGTTCACAACAGTTAGGATGATCATATGTGTCTTATATATTCTCATCAGCCTTTAAATAGTACGCTATCCAACCAGCAGGGGTGATGTACCCTTTTTAAAGCTGTCCCACCCCTGTCTGAAGACCTGTGGCACATGTTCTCTATCTGAATTCCAGCTCACTTCACTTTTTACTGCTCAGTACTTCCCCTGGTAGACATCACAGAACCACATGGATGACAGATTTCAACTAAAAGTAGAAACAAATTACACAAGATCAATTTTCATTAATCGTCATCAAGCCTGTGTTCTCGTGGTACTTCAGGTTATATGTTTATTATATCAAAAGGTCAGCTGGTGCTTTTAGCAGAGCTGAAAGTGAGTTTGAGGCCCTTTTGAGGGAGGTTCCTTAAAGTGTTTCATGCTCAAAGTATCACAAACAAACTCTGAGCAAATATCAGAAAAATCAAAGACATCAGAGTCTCAGGAGCTTCAGAGATCCCCAGGTCTCACGACTCTGCAGCCATCTAGGCTGAAGCCAGCGGGCAGTTATTTATGCATTTTGCTACGGCCCTAGCAGGGCCTCCTCCTGAAGGTGCCTGTGTGGGCGTGTCCCACTACCTCTTCTGCCTGAGGTGCCACCTTTCCCTTTTGTGCAGCTGACTCTCGTCAGTAATTAAAGACATTTAAGCCCAGGGAAAGGTGAGCTCTGGGCCAGAGTGCCATGCGAGTGGTTACAGCTCGCATTACGACCGAGCTCGCTCGCTCGCTCACTCACTCACTCACTCACTCACTCACTCACTCACTCACTCACTCACTCACTCACTCGAGTTAGTTAGCTGTGTGTCTGGGACTTGTATCTAGTGAGCTGCTCTCTTTTTGACTTATTTTGTACTTTATTGACCAGCACTTGAGTTTTGTTTGTTCCTTTAAATGGTGATAGCGGCTTGTCCGTCTCTTTTAGTTAGTTTTAATAGAAACTTTAACCATTTTGCCTCTGTCTCCTTTTCCTGACCCGGACACATTTTGTTACTTCCCCCCCCCCCCCTCATCGCCTGGACCCTTTTAGGGGAACGTAACAATTTTGAAGCCACTGTGCAAATGAACAACTGAGTGTAGTGATCACTGGGCTATAGAACTTGAATAGACAGATCAATAAGATAAAAAGCAACCTGCTACACTTGTACTGAGCGGAATATGGTGGACATTAGCAGAACAGAGTGAGTGAGTTTGTGTCGTCTTTATTTGGTGGGTGAAGTTTTCTGGAGCCTCTTGTGTCAAATGTAAACGGACTACAGGGGGCGCTGCAGGCAGCTGAGGTTGATGTCTGAATGACAGCAGGAATACAAACAGCGTTGAATCAGATCGGTGTGGGGTTATGTGGATGTTGTGTTGTGTCACCGTGGCACCCAGAGCTCAGCAGCTGCCGAGCTCTGGATAGTTTAAGGCCTCGTGTCGGTAATTCATCAAGCGTGCGTGACGTAAGGCCTTTAAATAACACCGACCTTCCACCTGAATGAACGTGTCAAATATCACTGGGCGACAGACACCTTTTTGTAAACAGAGTCTCCGGAGATCGAGGACTCTTTACTGCTTCTATTTTTTTCTATTTCACCGATTTGATTGATTTACAGCTGTTGCGTAAAACAGCATCAATCACTCTACTCTTTTATCAGCCAAACAAGTTCTTTCACATGTTTTTTTTTATTTAACTATTTCTTGGTGGAAAAATACATGTTCAAGCCTTCCGGTCATTCACATTTTTCAGGCAGCAGCCCTCAGGTTATTCTGAACGCAGCATTCATGCCCAAAAAGCAGTTTAGACCACAACATGGTATATGATTTCTTTTTTTCCAGCAGCAGGAGTCATAGTTTTTCAGCAGATTCAGTTCCGTGTTTTTTAACCAAAGCAGTGGTAAAGCTACAGCTTTACTATTATTATTATTGTTGTTGTTGTTGTTGTTGCTGTTGTTGCTTTTTTTCCTTACATGGTTGCAGACGGCTGTGCTCTGTGTGCTGTGATTTCATTAGTTACACTTTTAACTCATCATGTTCACACTGACTTGGGTCTCAAATAAAAAATTCGATAATCGTGAAAAATATCTTAGTTCATGTTCACTGTATTTTTACCTGACAGTGAGCTTGATGCAAACTGACATATTTCAATAGGAATACATTTATATTGTAAGCTAAAAAGCCAACAACATTACAGAGAAACAAGCAGATGATCTCCTATGAACAAGCTTGGTGACAGTGGGAAGGAAAAACTCCCTTTAACAAGAAGAAACTTCTAGCAGAACCAGGCTCACGGAGGGGTGGCCATCTTTATTGTAGGTGCTACCTTACAATACAATATAACTGTTGACTGTTGTTGTTGTTGTTATGATTTGGTGTTGGATAAATAAAACTGAATTGAATTGAAATAGAAATCTGCCGAAGCTGTCTGGGGTGGGGGGAAGCAGACAGGACAACATGAACACTTCATCTAAATCTAACCTTTGATGATAGAAACAATGTTTTTAAAATCAATGATAAAAAAAAATACTATAACAAGTGACTTTAATTTGAATTCTTTTGGCTTTTTTTTTTTTTTGCTCTTTTTCTGAGAAAATGTCTTTAGCTGTGCTCTGTACATGAACTGGATTCAAGGCCCGAAACATCTGCTGTATACCTCTTCCAATCATGCTAATCTCCGTTACTGGATTTTTTGGTTTTTCTGGTTTGGCTGTCAGCACGAATCTCCTCTGTCTCGTGCTCTCACTCCTGCTGTCCTCCCTCCATCTTTACCTCAGTGTTGCTGCTTTTGCCTGTTTGTCTGTCGTGAAGTGGAAAAAGGAGTGGGCTGGGTGGTGGTGGTGGTGTTGTAGCTCGCTGTAGGCCACTCGAGGCTTCGGGACAGATTCCCTCAGCGCTGACAAAGACGCTAACAATAGCTGTCAGAGTGTAACTCTGCCCCGTCCGTGTCATCCAAGGGGAAACCTGTTTACCTCCGCCTGCACCGGCTGCATGCATATGTTCAGAGAGGACATGTAGAGGGAGGAGGAGGAGGAGGAAGGGGTGAGGTCACAAGAAGGGAATCTAACCAAAAACGCTCCCCAGGGAGAAGCAGTTAGCGCGATGCTTGTTATAGCTGTCATTTCTCCGGCTCTCCGTGTGACACGCTGCGTTACGTAACAGTGAACCGGTCACACAACACGCTGCAAACAGGTCGGCTTTAAATAAAAAAGGCCTGTTGTGAGCTGCTTTTATTTACAGGACACATCCCTGAATCACAGCATCCCCGTACTCTGTCTGTGAGCTCGTTAGGTCTTAGAAACTGTAGGCAGCGCTCGAGTATGTCCAGTCTGCAAATAAAACTGAGAAAACATTTCATAAGGACTCAGTCGACTTATAGGTTCTGAAAACAACTGATCGGACCAGCTGTTTGTGTCTGTGAGACTACATTTCAGCATCCTGACTTACATGGAAATGATCTGAACAGCCATGGAAAAAAATCCAGGACTGATGATCCAGAGGGCAGCTAATAAAACTAACCTCTCATCAGTAATCTGAGAGGACACTGGCAAGTTACAACGATGAAATACAAGGAAAATCTGCATTAAGCAGGACCTCCTTAAATGTAATAAAGTGCTGATATAAACTGGTTTTAATGTTTCCTGCCGTCACAGGTCTCTCATCGATGCCTTTGTGTATATTAAATTACAGATTTATTAAATGTGAATGAGGTCTGATTAAAGTGAGTCTGTTTTGGATGCACTGAAGGTCCAGCGGTGTCCAAACAACTGCAGGGAGCAGCAGTTGCTGCCACCTGCAGGCCGACAGAGGTGCTGCGTGATGTTGGCTTTGCAGCCTGTTTATGACCTCAAACCATGAAGTGAAGTCCAGGATTGATCAAAACAGACACAGATGGACAGCAGCAGGATAAATTGCATCTCTCCTCATTTTGTAGTTTGAAAATTTTCTGCTGTAAAAACGTTGGCATTCTTATTTTCTCCTGGATTTGGGATTAGTTGGATCTGACGAGTATGAAAACTCATCTTTATCCTTAAACAGGAAGTTGTTACATACTTTGTAAAACACACAGCTGAGCTGAATGAAGGTGCAGGAAAGCCTCAATGTGAAGCTCCAGAGTCTCAGGAGGTTTAGATAAGAGTGGCCTGATGATTTAGGACTTTATATAGAAAAACTCAGTGATGGATTTAACAGGGAGCCAATGAAGAGAAGCCAGTATAGGAGAAATATGCTCTCTCTTTCCTGTTAAAATCTGTTTGGGAGTTGCAAAAAGGCAGAAGAGTCTATGAAGTGTTAGTTAGTAATAAAGAGTTGGACATGAACTGAATCTAAACACCAACCTTGATGGTTCACGCGTCCCCTGTTTGAAGTTCAAAGGTTAAAGCAAACTGAACTTAAGATCAGCCTCTTCATGGGTGTAGTGCATTTTCTGGTTGCTGTCATAAAGTCTCTAAAAAGACCTTAAAACATCTTTTATTCCAAGCAAAACATCAGGACCAAGGAGCTCATTGGGCTCAAGATCCATCACAGGTTTCTGTGAAGCACATTTTCATTTAAGGTTTTCTTGTCACTGATTGGTTGTTTTGCACAAACAAATGAGAATTAAAATAAATAGTAAGACTGATTTGACCTTGACATTGACCTTGAGTATAGTTTAGCCGATCCTCGTGTGTATGTTTGATTAAATTCTGACCAGAGGAGTGATCCCTGGGAGCCCATCACTCCTTCAACTGGACGAGCTAAGAATCTGCTGACTTGGAATACACTGGAGTTTGTTTTTACACTACATGCTCTGCTCTGATATCTGTGACATTCATTACATCATCACCCAACAAAACGCCCATTCTGTGCATTTCATCCACCATAACTAACTAACTATGACAAAACCATCAGCCCATGTCACTGTAAAACATGATAAGCTGGCTCTACTTGAATTTGAATTATGCAAACTATTTTCCTAAAAATAGTAATGTTAACTTGATGGTGAGTAACACCAGCTTTACAGTGTACAGCTCCGAAGAAGGATGAACCTAAGAGTAGATCAGTGTTGAAAAAGGTCACATTTTAAGTTAAAAGCACTTCATAAAACCTAAACCTAACCTAAATTGTAGATTCTTCTCAGAAATTAAACTCAACATTTACATTATGCATTTAACTGCAGAGATGCAACTGTTTGTGCCCCATTACTCACACTGTCCCAGGAACCCTGCTGTTATCCAGTTGGAACAACAGTCTCAGTCATGGTGGCCTGGTAACTACGGAGACAGCACATGCATGCACACACACATACACAGCAATCAAGATCCAAACACATAATAACTGAAATAAGGATGACAACATTGAACACTTAAAGAAAAACTCTTTTTTTGTAAAACTAAGCCTACCTGTACTGCCTGTATTTACATGATGTACACATTAAATAATTCTCAGTGTATTTAGGGATAATGGTGGTGCTGTTTGTCACTGATCTGTGATGCAGTGTTCTGTTTTAACACACACAAAATAAGTAAACTAAAATCTTCTTTGTTTTGTGGTGATTCTACATGTGTTTTTTTACTTATTCTGAGCAGGTTTTAAGTATCGTATGACTGTTTTGTAGTTTTTTCCCTTGGTCCTCAGTTTTTACCTTACATCTCCTTGAAATCATTTTGTGTTTCTTTGTCATCAAACTCGAGTCATTTCTTTATCTCCTTGCGGCTGTTGTTGTCACTCTGGAGTTTTTTGTGTGTCTTTATTGGTGTTTTGCATTTTCATGCTCGTTTTGTCTCTGACTGCAGTCATTTTGAAGTCAGATTAAATGATTTTCTGGCTATTTGGAATCTGTTTGTCATGATTTTTAAGTCATTTTTAATCTTTGTGATTGTGTGTGTGTGTGTGTGTGTGGTTGTTGTCATATTTACATTAGTCTTTCTCATCAGGACAGCCTGGGTCTAAAAACCTCTCTCAATGCGTTAAATTTTTATAAAAACGTTCCGTTTTAAAACTCGCTGCTGCTGAAAATGACACTGATTGTGTTTCAGGATGATCAAAGATCAGTTTCCTTCTTGAGCTCTGACTCAAAGCCACGAGGAGGTAACAAGACTGCAGGCAGTCAGTGTAATGTGTAAAATGAACCTAAAGAGCAGCCTGACCAACATCCGAAGCACACTGTGTTTTATCTCTGTATACTTCACGGCGCCGTTGCCTGTGAATGATAGTTTTTCTTTACTTCAGACTTTTTGCAGTCTTTCTGCAGATTTCCTTCTGTTTGTCTTTACAGAATAATTGCTGGGAAAACAGTATTAATTATGAGTAGCTGGCATCTCTCCCTGTTTTAGCAGCAAATTTTACTTGCAGTGTCAGTTCTGCTTAAAGAAATAAACCCATACAGAGTCATCATCACCTCTGCAGCTCCGAGGAGATTCTGTGGCCTTATAAAGCAGCAAACACAAGACCCAGTCAGAGAGGAGCAGCTGCACAGGGAGCATTTACAGCCACATATGGTGGTTCTGTTTGGTTTGCTCTCCTGCCACTGGGTGGTCAAAATAAGACAATGCACCCTGTTTCTGATTCCAAGGAATACCTCAAAGCAGCCTAGCCAATACCAGACAGGTGTGTGTGTGTGTGTGTGTGTGTGTGTCGTGTGTGTGTGTGTGTGTGTGTGTGTGTGTGTGTGATGTGTGTGTGTGTGTGTGTGTGTGTGTGTGTGTGTGGGTGAGAGAGAGAGAGAGAGAGAGAGAGAGCGAGAGAGAGAGAACTTCTTCTTACCTTTGTTTGGAGTCTGATCGTCCATCCGTCCATGAATCCATCCTTCACTCAGATAATAATCCATTAGACGTTCACAGTGAAAACATCTCCTGGGATATTTTTTTTTCTTTTTTGTTTTATTCCATCAGGTCATTTAAAAACTCCTTTTTTTGTTTCCAGGTCCATTTTATGGTCCATCCTGGAGTCCAGGTGAGTACAGGTGAGCTGTTTTTACATCCAGAGAGTCCTTGATCTCCGACTGGGACCCCACAGGCTCCAACACGGACTTTAATAATTACCTGTGACACATGTCTGCTCAGTAAGCATATTGGCTATCAGCCTAATACCGTTATCACAGGGTATGGAAGAAAAAAGGTGCCAAAATAATTTAAATTGCATATGTGAAGCTGGCGTTACAATCTTGCTGCATCTAAATACTTTATTTTGAAAAGCTTCTCAGTGTATGTGGTTTAAATTCCCCTTTAATTTTAGTTTCCTTACTGGAAACACAAGTTTTGATAATTTTTTAATAAATTTTAAGAAATAGCCATGAAATTGTGACTCTTTGTGCTTCAGTTTTTTCTGGGGTCACATTATTTCCATTAAAGTGCTAAAATGTAATAAAAATGTATTAATTGCTGTTTTACATTCATGCAAGTTAATTTTTTGTTTTCATTTGGCTTTAATTTTATGTGTTGAAGTTAAGCAACTTAATATATATGTTAATATATATTAAGTTGCTTATGTTTATATATATGTATGTATATGTTTTTTAATCAACAAGTCTTCGATATTAATTTGAAAGTGCTTAAAAAATTTTCTGTTTGAAAATATTTTTTAATTTATATTTAGAGTGGGGAACAGAAATCACATAAAATCCGAGAGTTTGCCAGATATTTCAACCTTATCATCTGAACAATGAGTTGTGATGTGAAATTTGACATTAATTTTGTCCTTTTCACGCTGCCATATGCAGCCAATATGTAATAACAGTTGATCAAGTGACAAAAGTGAGTAAAACTTCAACTCTAATATTTGACTTTTAAATTTTTGTTTGTTTTCTGACTTTAAGTTTTATATTTATGAGAATTTCACTCGATTAAATTTTAGTTTTCTTTCTGTGTGGATTTCATTTGTCATGTTTTAAAATAATTCTGATGGTTTCACAGTTTAAGATTTTTATGTTACAAGCAACTTATGAAAAACTGAAATGTAAAATTAGATTTGAAACTAAAAGAATTTTGGCCTCACGGTGCTTCCACACAATAATTGCACTCTGTATTTTCATGTTTGCTTCAAATGTAAAGTGTTTTTTCTTCTGCTGTCCAAAGCACAAAAATATTGTTAGCAGATATACTGTCACTATTTCTTAAATAGTTTTATGTATATTATATATATTTATCAGTATTGGTTGAGCTCTAAAACATCAAAAATATTACTAATATTATTCTAATAAGCTGCTAAAGGCGAGGATTTGAGGCTCTTCTCAGATTCTTAGATTTTTTTAAACTAAAATACAGAGTTTAACGTCTTCATGTGAAGCTGGGGGAGTTTGTGAGCATTTTAAAGCCTAAAATAACGGAATCACTGTGTGTGTGTGTGTGTGTGTGTGTGTGTGTGTTGATGGCAGGTGAACCATGACTTTGTGTGGGGTGCAGGTGATGTTCAGCGGTGGATTCAGACAACATGGAGGCTTTTCCACAACATGGTGGTTTTGTGGCCTATGCGGTCTCAGCCCGCGTGTTTTCATTCCTGTGGCAGACAATACAGAAAAGTCTGGAAGGTTGCTATAGAAACTGCATCCACAGAGAGACACGCAGGGCCTCGGCTCGTCCACACAGCGGTGCTGTTGGATTGGAGAAACTGAGGTTGATTTCATAACGCTCACACAGTCTGCGTGGCAATAACAAGGAGCACGTGCTCGGAGTTTTCCCCACAGAAGCCTGATTGTTTGTTTCTGTTTGTTGTTGTTTGTTTGTTTTAGTAATAACAAACATTCTGATCAAACATGGTGTCAGGGAGGGACTTTAAATTTAGATTAACGGCTTTTTCCAACAAGCATCATCTGATCCACCCCGAGCTTTAACAGGTGTGTGTGTGTGTGTGTGTGTGTGTGTGTGTGTGTGTGTGTGTGTGTGTGTGTGTGTGTGTGTCACCAGCTCCACTACATAAACGTTAATAATCAAATGTCTGGATAAAGTGCTGCCGCTGGCTCTTTCATCACTTCTAAGCTTCTGTTTGTCCGCTCGTGGCGCGCGTGATGGAAGACGGTTTCGGGGGTAAACGTGGGTCCTCTCCGTGAGTCTTGGATGGCAGAAAAAAGGAGCTCTCCGGTGTGCAGTCACAGCAGAGCGCGTGATGCTGCGGCTCAGACGTCGGTGAGTTTGCCGCTGTGGGCTTTGTGCGGGCTGCAGTTGGTGTATTTAATGGAGTCCGCGTCCTCGCTGCCCAGAAACTCGGACTTGGACAGGCTCGACCTGCTGTCGCTCTTCCTGAATTCTCCGAAAGCCGGCTGTTGCTGTCCGCAGGTCACGTGCGTGTACTGGAACTGCTCCTCATGCTCCGTCTCCCGGTGGTAGAAGTAGTTGAAGTTGGACACGATGACGGGGACCGGCAGCGCGATGGTCAGCACGCCGGCGATAGCGCACAAAGAGCCCACGATCTTCCCCCCAATGGTGACCGGGCACATGTCCCCGTAGCCCACTGTCGTCATGGAGACCACAGCCCACCAGAACGCGTCCGGGATGCTGCTGAAGCCCGAGTGCGGGTCGTCGGTCTCCGCGAAGTACACAGCGCTGGAGAAGAGGATGACTCCGATGAAGAGGAAGAAGATAAGCAGTCCAAGCTCTCGCATGCTGGCCTGCAGCGTCTTCCCGAGAATCTGCAGTCCTTTGGAGTGTCTGGACAGTTTGAAGATGCGGAAAACCCGTACCAGGCGGATGACCCTGAGGATGGCCAGAGACATGGCCTGCTGGCCGTTCCCTTGGTGCTCCGCGAGCTCCAGTCCCAGCGTGATGAAGTAGGGCATGATGGCCACGATGTCGATGGTGTTCATGATGTTCTTGAAGAAGGCGGCCTTGCTGGGGCACGCGAGGAATCTAACCAGCAGCTCGAATGAAAACCAGATGATGCAAAGCGTCTCTACGATGAAGAACGGGTCCGTGAAAGGGTTCGGTTTCTTTGCGCGCACTGTTCCGTTCGCTGCCAGGTGCTCGTCAAACGTCCTGGCCTCCTCGCGGAACTCCGGTAACGTCTCCATGCAGAAGATCACGATGGAGATGAGAATGACCAGGACCGAGACGATGGCGATGCCCCTGGCGGGTCCGGAGCTCTCTGGGTACTCGAACAGGAGCCAGACCTGCCGCTGAAACTCGTTCTCGGGCAGCGGGCGCTCCTCCTCCTTAATGAAGCCCTCGTCATCCTTAAAATTCTCGATCACCTCCTCTCCAAGCTCGTAGAACTTGATCTCCTCCATGAAGATGTCCACCGGCACGTTGACGGGTCTCCGGAGCCGGCCCCCGGACTGGTAGTAGTAGAGGATGGCGTCGAAGCTGGGCCGGTTCCGGTCGAAGAAGTACTCGTTCCTCAGCGGGTCGAAGAAGCGCATCCTCTTCCGCGGGTCTCCCAGTAGCGTGGCGGGAAACTGCGCGAGCGTCTTCAGCTGTGTCTCGAAGCGCAGCCCGGAGATGTTGATGACCACGCGTTCGCAGCAGTCCTGGCTGTCCGCGCGCTCCGGCTCGCACGCGTCCTGTGCCGACAGCGCGGCCAGCGCTACGGTCTCGTCCAGGTTCTCCGCGGGCACCACCGTCATGATCCCCGCGCGCTCCTCGGGGCTCTCTGATCCTCCGCCGAGCCTCCGCGTGTCCTTCTGCGCCCCCCGCGCTCACCTGTCCGTCCGCGCGGCGCTGTGCTCTGGATTCAGCCGTCACACTCGCAGCATTTTAAGCAGACTTTGCCCTCCCCGAGCTGACGTGTGTGTGTGCACGCTCCGTCACGGAGGGGGAAACAAACACGCGCACATGCTGAACGCGAGAGGGGCACAGAGCTCCGGGAACACCGCAGAGATGCGGGATTCTGAGAGAGTTTGCGTGCGTAACGAACCTGTTGTGTCCTGCGCGGCGCGGGCTCAAGGTTATCACAGGGGCTGCCGTGTATTCCTTGACGTGATGTCACGTTTGAAACAGCACGCATGCAGTCACAGCGAAGACGTGTGGAGACAAAGAGCGCGAGACTTTTCATGCAAAACGCTCAAATTTCAGGCAAAAAATCCGCTTTTTCATTCAGAATTTGCAGTCGAACGAATACCTGTGGATCCGTGATGCGTCCTCCTCCCGCCCTCTCACTCCTGTCAGGTGGCGTGAACGGGCAGACACAGACAGGCTCTGCAATGTCACGCTGCAGCCGCTCCACACAAACCCGCGCTGACGTTTCCACAGCAGCTCCCCCATCCACAAGTTGTGCACGACCTGCGAGTCTGTGCTGTGTGTGCATGAAACAACAATAAACAGGAAACAATAACAACAAAAACAACAACAACAACAATAATTATTATTATAATGAGAGAGCAGTGACAGCATGGAAGGTAAACACTGCGTGTGCAACAAGTCCAGAGGAGGGGTGCATGTTTGTGTGTGTGTGTGTGTGGGGGGGGGGATCAGGGAGAGTTTCTGGGCTGCAGCTCAAAGCAGTGACGTGTTTTCCTAAAATAGTTGGATTTCTCCCAGGGCCTCAGGAAAAGTTTCTTTTCCCATGGAATAGCCTGAGGGAGCTGCAGGGGAACATGAAAAAAGAGCTGACATGAAAAGGAAAGAGCAGATTTGCAGCAGAGATGAAGACACAGCACGTGAGTCATTCAGAAATACAAACAGCAGCTGGGATGAAACCTGGACTAATTCTGACAGCAGGAGAAACACTACATGTCCCCTCACCCAGAAGTCTGCTCCCTTTTCTTATGCTGCCAAAATGTGAAAACTGTTTTTCCAAAGTGAAGTCACATGTAAAGGGTCAGACTCATGCAGAGAGGAAACACTCAGAACACCCCCCCCCCCAATAGGAAAAAATACTCCTGATTACATTTTCTTTGAGGACATTTCCTAAAGTGCTAAACATGTTCATACCGAGAATGATGTAGAAATGAAATTCTGATCCAGCTGCTTGGGGTTAATGAAGGAAAACTGTGCTTCCAGGGAATCTTGAAACTGTGACAATTTGACGTCATGTGATAAAGTATAAATAGCCCGGCCCTTCAGGCTCACTTATGTGATATCAACACATTTTATGCTTTTCTTGTTTAATTTTAATCGTTAAACTGTGAAAAGGTCACAGTGTGGAGCATCCTCTTGGGCATTAAATAGCCCACGAGCAGAAAAACAATCGCTACTGACCAAAAGGACTAAATGCCTCTGACACCCAGCTCAGGTCAGCTCAGACTTGTTTAATGGGTTTAAAAATGCTGGTTTGTTAATAGTAAAATTCTTTATTTTTCCAAAATTGACAAAAAACAGTCTTTTAAACTCACATTCTCTAATGTGCGGGACTTCTCTGGTTATAAAGAAGATTATATTGAGCTTTTTAAGTTAATGAGCCTCCTGCTTACATCATTTCTGCCTAGTTCTGTGGAGAAAGAGTGACGACCACCTGCTGAAGTTCAAACTGAGCACAAGAACGATGAAGAGAGGTGATTTAAGTGACTTGGTTTCAGAAATTGCTGATCTGCTGGGATTTTCCCAGGCCAATAAGGCCACCAGCAGAAGATCACACCAGTGAGTAAGAACAGGAAACTGAGGCTATAATTCTCACAGACTAACAAAAAGCGACACTGTAAGATGGCAAAATGCTTACTGCTCTGACAAGTCTCGATGGTCGAGTCAGAGTTTGGTGTGAACAGCACGAATGCATGGATCCGATCCTTAGAGCATCACTGGTGCATGGTGGAATGGGAGGTTTTCATCGTTGCTATGTAGCTGACAAGTCTGGATCAACTGTACGATGGTATCATGTTAACATGGACCAAAGTCTCTGAGGAATATTTGCAGCACCCTGATGAATCTGAGCCATGAAGCATTAAAGCAGCTCTGAAGCAAAAAGGAGAACACTGTAATAGCAAGTACAGTGTTGGAGCAGGTAAACCAACATAAATATTTACACTAACTGCTTTATTAGCATTTTAGTAGTGCATTATTAGCGCTTTATTAGAGGCTAGTGTAAATATTTCTGTTTGGTTTCTCACCCTGTGGAAGCTGCACAAGGATCCTCTGCATTACAAAGTGCAGCTGGCTGGACTCACAAGGCCTTTTTGTTTTATGAAGCAGTGTTTCCAACATTAAATTCTTCTCCGTGCTTCCCCACATGCTCACCTCATTATTCAGGCCCTGATATTCTGACTCATACTGAAGTCCCGACTTCAGCTGCCTGCAGACGACCTCTTCAGTCTGACATTACCTCATTTCCTGTATCCTGTGAGCTCATTGGTGTGATACACTCACACACGCTCATACGTATAAGTCCTGGATTTCTTCTCTCCACATGTTACTGTGAGGATGTTTTAAACTCACTGTGCTTCTCTGCTGGATTCTCTGGCAGCTCATCAGGTTACTGCAGAACAACTGTCAGGCCACCAGCTCCAAAACACTCCTGAATGTCTGTGATGAGGTCATCCCACACAGTCACATGTCACAGTTACAGTCGTGACATAATATCACATTAATTTGACAAATTTCCAACCCTTAGAGTTCAACTCAGGTGGTCAAGTTGTCCTGAGGAGCTTCAGATCAAGACAATCTCATCTTCTGCAAAGTTTTATTTATATTCTGGATGAAGAAAATGTTTTGGGATATAAAATAACTAAAAATCACGATAGTTCTGTTTAGCGCCCCCTGGTGTCTGGATGCTCTTAAACTATACGCTCCAAATATGCCATTTAGTCATTAATCTTATCCAAGAAACATTTTATTTGACTTTTATTTTAATGACTTGTGGAGAGGAAGTGTGAGAACTGAACAGTGTCAGAGATTCATTGTCCTCTTACTATTAACCCACATAGAGAAATTAGTTAAATTTTTGTCAACCTAATCATAAAAGTTAATTAATAATTCTTACGTAAATTTTGTCATTTTGTGAAGTCATTGAAGTTAAAGGGAATCATATCGGCTCAAACAACTGACATCAAAACTCTACTTTTCTGTCGAAACATAGACGCGATGAAGGTTAGCGAGAAAACCACAGCTCAGAGGTCAGAGCTTGAACCTGACTATCTATATTAGTTATTGGCTCAGTCACGTGGGTCTAGAGGCTGGCTGGTGACTCCCTGGCAACCACTGGCGTCTAGGAAAAGCTGTGTATTCCCACCTAGTTGGCAACTGGTTGCTGGCATTTGCTTGCAGTGACTGTGAAATCACTTGCTGTTATTGCTGCAGTTATGCAGATCTAGAGAGTAGTCAGTAACTCTTGTGATTAAAGCATCTGAACAAAATGGGTTAGGCCCCGAAAAGTGCGATGCAAACCAAAAATAGAAACTCTTTAACTTCAAAGTAAAAGTTGCACCTTTTTAACCAAATTGGTTACAACAGTAAGACATGACTTTTGCTCTGAAGACGTTTCCAGTTTGCATCACACTTTTCCAGGTTTCACTATCACTCCACAAGAAGTTGGTTAGAAAAGGTTAGCTGGTAGAAAGGTTACCATCTGCCATGTAAACTATGGGTGACTGCAGCAATCTGCTACCAACTAATGCAGAAACAAGAAGGTTTTAGGAGTTGCACCCTCTTTGTGACCACCCGTGTACCTGGCGCCAGACATTAACCACTTGCCAAATATTTGGGGACCACACATTTTTCCATAGTGGCCAGAGGTTGCCAGGAGCCACTGTCCAGTCCCTAGGTGTGACCTTAGTGGGCCATCATTGAAACATTTGAGATACTTACTTTTCGGACGTTTTTACCACGACAGTTTTCTAAGTCTGAGAAGAGGAGCTCTTGCTGCACGACTCCACTCCTGACCACCTTGGCATGTTTTCCACTATTTGTTAGTTATGAATGGGTCGCTGCAAGCTGACATGCAAATACCACTGAGATTTACTGAGCTCATTAGCGCTGACCAGCTCAGCTCCAGCACCCTCTTTGAATGACCACAGAGTGTACAGAGGATTTTTTTTCCCACCCTCAAATTCTTTAGACTGTCACTTTAATGGATGTTGGTGGACGTAAATTCTGAACTCTGCAATTCTGGATCACTTACGGAGTCTGACATGAAAAATGGCAGAAGTCCTCGAGGATGGTGGGCCTCGGAGAGCAGAAACATGTATACTTTGAAACGCTCCAGGAGCATGACAGCTTTTTTAAGATAATATCATCTATGTGAGAGGGAAGTTCTCAGATACTTCACTTCAGTGGAATATGAAAAAATATTATATTTAAAGTAAAAAAAACAAAAACAAAAACAGAACAATGCTAACATTAATGCAGGGCTGTATTTGAATGTTGTAGCTGATCCAGGAACAGCTTGTTGGAATTAACTTCAAGCTGTTAGATTCCTAAAAATGAACTTCAGGTTACCTCCAAAGGGTCAGGGCATAAGTCTGACAGCTCGCAGCGATTCCACATCTTCAAATGTGGCTTTCTGTCAGATGTCATTGCCAACATTCAATTCAATTCAGTTTTATTTATATGGCTCCAAATCACAACAGCGAATACCTCAAGGTGTTTTATATTGTAAGGTAAAGACCTACTATAACACAGAGAAAACTCTAATAATCAGATGGCCCCTATTATCTAGCACTTGGCAACAATGGGAAAGAAGAACTCAGTTTTAACAGGAAGGAACTAGGCTCCAGGAGAACCAGGCTCTGGGAGGGGTGGCCATCTGATGCCACCGCTTATGTGCGATTTTATGACAGCAGTTAATCATCATCAGTCTTACCCAGAAACATTTTCTCCTCCTTCAACCTTTGCTCCTGCAGCTGAAGCTTTATTTTCTGTATGAAGCTGATGATTATAAAACAGTCTGATGTGTCCGTGACTTCAGTGTCAGAAGGAGGTGGGGCTTTTTGGACACTCGTGTGATCTTGAGCGATCGTGGCTCAAGAGTTGGGAGTTCGCCTTGTAATCAGAAGGTTGCCGGTTCGAGCCCCAGCTTGGACAGTCTCGGTCGTTGTGTCCTTGGGCAAGACACTTCACCCGTTGCCTACTGGTGGTGGTCAGAGGGCCCGGTGGCGCCAGTGTCCGGCAGCCTCGCCTCTGTCAGTGCGCCCCAGGGTGGCTGTGGCTACAATGTAGCTGCAATCACCAGTGTGTGGATGTGTGTGTGAATGGGTGGATGACTGGTTGTGTAAAGTGCTTTGGGGTCCTTAGGGACTAGTAAAGCGCTATATAAATACAGGCCATTTACCATCTTTTGATGCAAATGTTCAAGACCCTAAAATGAGAGCAAACTGTTCAGCTGTTGTTCTAGTGTTGGGTGAACTTCATGGGATCTTGTGTTAAAGTTTTAAAGTCTTGCTTTTCATTGAGCTTCATTTGTTATTTCTTTTTAGTTCCTTCACTCTTTCTTTGTCTCAAATCTTCATTTGTGTTTGACTTGAAGGGTTTTTTTTTGTCTTGCAGTAGTTT